CACTTCCTTCCGGGCTCAGTTCCGAATTTGCTAATTGGGAAAGTGTCGGAAGGTGGCGAGCCTTTTCCATTGGTCACCTCTCTTTGGTTGCCTCATCCCTCTCTGGGACTTGGCTAGAAGAAGGGTCCGCTTGGGCGTGGTCAATTTTCCAATACGATCGACCAGATGTGGCATAGCCAAGAACAATGCAAGCATTGTCTTAAAGGCCGAGTGCGCACGTATGGTCATTGCATGTTGTTGCACGTACGGGTTTTAGGTTGCAGTAAATATTTGTACTCAATGCTTTACGCATATCTGATATTCGTTCTGAATCTACTTTGGGGTTCTCCCGGCAATAAACCCATTAAGTTCTACTGCACTTTATGCATGAGCACGTTTCGCTAGAGTTTTCCAGATGTTTTATGACACTGGTGCAAAATAATTATGAGCAGGAAAGTTTTGAAGTCTTAAATACAATTTTCATGATATTACTTACCAGATGTTTTATTGTCTTAAAAAAAGAGTCTCTCATTCTCAAACATGCTTAATTAAATTTAGTAGACAAGTTAAAAAGTACATTTTTTAAAGTACAAACGTACATTTGTCTGTTATAATTATTGTTTTATACAAATGACTAAGAAGAATTCAAATCTTTAAATATTGAATATAATTATATATTATATTTGAAAGAAAAACATGCATATATATAGCATTAGTAAGATTCAAATTATAGCGACTTCAAGTACATAATTAATTTTTGGTCACATTCAAAGATTAGGAAATCCGTAATAGTGTAATATTGCTCGAAATACCTTCAAACATTTCCGCGATTTTTAAAAACTACCCTTATGGATAAGCAAGTGTTCGCGAATGATACCCGAAAACTGGGGGCACAAGGATATTGTGAGCTCACATAAGAAATACTGTCTTTGGCCATGAATAAATAAGCAGATAGCAATGTCAATTTCATAGTGTCAAAGCTATTATTTATTCTCGTCATTAACTGATCTTTACACTTTTCAGACTCATCTCTTAACTCCTGACATATTAATTGGCGAATTTCTTAAATTAAACGCTATATTTAATAATGCGAAATTGAATGGTTTAAACTTTTTTTATTCAGAAGATAATTTTATATATTTTTCTCATTTATCCATCTACTGTTTTTTTTAATACTGAATTTTGTCATGAAAAATAATACACATAAGTTGGAAGTGCGAACAGTTGTTCTTAAATAATATTCACACACTTTAAGAATGAAAAACACACGTTTTATAATTTTTAAGGAATTAGTTATAATTATGAATGAAAACTTTAATACCTAATAGATATTTGCAATTCAAATCCATTATATGTATAAATTATTTTAATATTTATACACCCAACTTTCCTGTATTTCTGAATCTTCTTGCTTTCTCCTAATCAATGAATCAAAGATCATTTTTCGAAAATTATCTAAAAATCGTGAATATTTCCTTTATATATCCAAAATTAAATATTACCATATATACTAATATATTTAAATTAATAAAGAAGCATTATAATTCTGTTCGAAACTGTTTAAATTCTTGGTTCGAACTGCCAATGGTTCGATAGCTTTAATTTACCATCGGTCCATACCATGCTCGGGAAGGAGTTAAGTGGAAGGGACGTAGAAATATAGTATGCGCTCCTTCGAAAAATATGGTTTATTTACAATTCCACTATCGATTGTTCAATTTAAATATTATGTAAGAATATACACTATATTCAGTCACGTCGTTGCAGTTGCTTTGAACTGACCTTGTGTTGAATAAGTTGTCTACTCAAGATGCTCCTTGATGATGATGTTGTTGATCTTGTAAGGATCAGCAACTGATTATGCACACTCCTTATTAGTGAGTGTGATTTGTGCTATTAATAATAGTGTCATGGTAATCTTGTAAGGAGTTGCAATAATTAAATATACTCATAAGAGTATGGTTTTATTATGTTTATAATAGCGTCATGCTAGTTTTGTAAGGACTGGCAATAATTAATAGCTTAATAATTTTGTATGGATTAGCAATTTAGTTTTCACAGACTTTGGTTTTACTTACAGTAATGCAGTAACCTTGATCTGATTAAGCACACTCCTTATTCGGTAATGTGTCTTGTATAGTCTGGCGTCTTCTTGATGTGAAAGAGTTATTGTCAAACACCTTTTATTTGCAGCACAGGAGAATTGACGCGTCTTCCTTTCATCCGTACTTACAGCTTGATCACTATAGTATCACAAATAGGGGCCTTCCTCCTTCTTCCTTGGCTTCTCCACTTAGACAGCGCTTGTATCTGTCTCGACCCCACTTATAAGGCCTCTGACCAAAACGTCTCCGCTTAGGGAACGCCTATGCCTCCAATCAGAACGCGACCGAGCGAGCGCGCCTGTGCCTTCCGTCTTCAGAAAGAGTTCCATAGTGGCCACATCGGCAAGAGCACCGTTAGCGGTTGCTTTTCGTGGCTTTCATAACTCCAAGAGGATTTCCTAACTGAAGCACCCTCGCTTGGCTTTTCTAAGCGGTAGCATGGCTAGGCTTGACAACAGTGGATGCGTTGTATACCGTTATATCTAAAAGTTTTGCTTGTAACGACTATTTACAGATGTCTTGGGTTTTCCCAGATGTTTAGTTAAAACGGTTTTTTGCAAATGTTTCGCTATAACGGCTTTTCGCACATGTTTAAATTATTACATGTGCACACATTATTCAAATTTTTTCAAAATCAATTAATTACAAATCTAGAATAATGGCTTAAATCGCTAACATTGTAATTCTTATCAACAAGTGAAGAGAGTAAACATAGACTCGCTTTATATGTATATCAAATGTACATCCATCAATTAATAATTTCTGTTTATTTAATACAGGCAACCATTCCGGAATTCAAGTGCTATCGGTACAACAACGGTCTCGACAAATGGCTCTGATAATGAAACTATCATCAATTCCGGTCTCGGCATATATTCTGCTGAACAACAACAATGGCAACAACAACAGCGGCAACAACAACAACAGCAGCAGGAGCAGCAGCAACAACAGCAACAGCAGCAGCAACAGCAGCAGCAACAACAGCAGGAACAGCAGCAACAACAGCAGGAACAGCAGCAACAACAGCAGGAACAGCAGCAACAACAGCAGGAACAGCAGCAACAACAGCAGGAACAGCAGCAACAACAGCACAACAGCAGGAACAGCAGCAGCAACAACAGCAGGAACAGCAGCATCAGCAGCAAACAACGGAATCATCGGCAACAACACCGCCGACGAGCATTGCCTCTACCTCCATCTGTGCGGGCTCAACGTCCAACATCACCCGGAGCGTTTCGGCACCCGTGGGCTCTAGACCCGAGATATCCAGCACTAGCAGCAATACTACGACCGTCGGTCAAAGATCCAGGCTGTATCGCAACCAAAGCCGCACTGAAGCTATTAAAAAGTACGTACGTTGATAAACAATTGGGACTCCCAATTGAATATGACAATGTAAGATGTTGAGTGGCTTGCTAGAATAGTTAAAATATATATATTTTGATATTTTCATCTTTACTTATACTATCTATGTTAGTGATTAGATCTATCTAATTATGTAACTCATAAGTTCATAGAACTTAAATTCTTTTATTTATAATAGTTATAATTCGCTTAGAATATAAATGATAAAACAAGATAAATTCGTAAATATTTGCAATTAGAAATAAATTTAGCACTAAATGAAAAAACGAACTTTAACTTTAATACATTAATGCTATTATTTATCGAACGTAAAAAATTTTTTATTAAAAAATACATCTTTCTTATATGTACATATACACGTTCCTTCAACTAATTTTCGTTTTAAATATTTAAGAATTCAATAACATAATGTTATAAAAAAATTTAGAGAAACACTCATTATAATTTTTTTCATTGGTCATTCGCGAATCTCATCCACGATAAATTGTTTGGCCAATAATCTTCTAAAAAGTTGAAGGAAAATATATAACTTTTTTTTTCAGTTACATCAAGCGTGAGACTGCGACGTTTTTCGGAGTTAACGAGGAGTCCGAGGCTGTGGAAAAACAAAAATGGCTCGATCGTCGACGACGAATGGCACTCAGGAAATACGGTACACTATTACCACAGTATAGACCACCAGATCCAGATATTACTAAGGACGTTCCAGATTCTATGGAGATTCCAGATGTAAATACTTTATCAAATTTCAATCCTAGATGATTCACTTGGTGTAGTTTACTTTTAGAGATGTTATGCGATTTTGATTTAATTTTGAATAAATTATCAATATTGTTAATTCATTTCGAAAAAAAAATCAATTTAAAATAAACATTTTCCCTTGATCTTTCCTTTTGAATAGGTTATTACGTACAAGTTATTTTATGTTATTCATTAATAATATAATTTTAAATAACTGAATATTGTAATTTATCTTCAGAATATAAGAGGCCCAGAGAATATAACGTGTAAGATTACTTGATATTTTAATATTGACCAAGTAAGATAATTTTATTACCGCAGTCTACGAGGCTTCTAATATTTCTCTAACCAAATTTGATTGGATCATTCCCATCTCCTTTATATTTCTTTCTTTATTCATATATCCATATATTTATTTATGCATTCTCATTTATTTCTCTCCTTTAAGTTAATTTTTGTTCAAAATAATTCTTAACTCACAACGTTACTTTTACAGTCTGTTACATTAAGAAAATGGCAAAGGCCTGTGAGGAGGAAAGATTCAGTCGCGAGGATGACGCTATCCGGGTTGCAATATATGGTGGATGTAAGTATATATTTTAATACTAAAAACTACGTTATTGAAATCTTCGAGATCTCGGTTTAGCATTTTTATAGCATCTCTCATGATAAACGAATATTTATTATAAAGTCTCGTGTACATTAGGTTGTCATTAAAGCTCTTTAATAAAAGTTTAACATTGGTGAAGAAACAAATGGAGTAATAGCATGTCGAGAGTATATAAAACATTAAATATAAATGAATACAAATAATCTTACCGATGCAGTCATATATAGGGAGATGTGCCGTCAAGTCGATCCTCTCATGTACTTTAATCAAATTTAATCTCTAAATGAGGAAATAAATCTCTATTGATTGACCTTTATTAACTCTCTATTAACTCACGAAGATCAATGAAATTCGTTTGCTCAAAAATGAGACATAATTAGGTGGAACCCGGTAAGCTAATGAATAATCCCACGTATGTTCTTGTATCGTGGCCCTCAGAATTCATACACTATTTCCGAGTCCGTGCATTACTTTAACGAGGTCGCAGTGGCTTCCGGTTGCCATGCGCGAAAGGTGTGGCCTGCGATGCTCTTGTTTTTTCAATCAGCTATTGCTGCAGATAATATAAAAAAAAGCGTAGAAAAATGTATATGCTGTAAAATAATAGATAATTCCTCTTACTTTATCAACAATACTATATGAGACGAATGAAATTTTTAAAAGCAACTCTATTTTAAATCAAGTTCATACTCCAACGCGGTATGTTAATATTTTCCTTTGTCGTACTTTAGTTGACAAATATAGATTAATTCACTAATTGATAAAAATGAGGATAAATCTATAGTGATAGAATTGATTAATGGACATTGAGGCATGAAAATATTTTTATAATCTTTCGATTTAAAAGTGTCTAATGAACCAGCAGAATGATTTTGTAATTCAACATAGCTCCAATTATAAAAATTCGTGTAGCGAAATATAGTTGAATATTCATAAAGATGAAAGATTAATTAATTGTTAGAGATCAACTTGAAATTTAACATTACCTTTTATTAACTATTGATTACTCCTTTAATTTACTTATATACATGCATATAAATATTTTAATATGCATAAAAAATTTAATTTAATTAAATTTGTTAACTGGAAAACAAATTACTAGTATTTTACACGCAACATATAATTATATTTATAAAATCAATATCATAATCATTTGACTCCTTTGCTTAAAATGCACTATTAACAGAAAATAAATTTACTGCACGAAAATTACACTTTTTCAACTAAAATACGATTAGATAAATGTATAATTATCATAAGTCGGATAGTTCCATTACGGTCTAACATATATATAAAAATTTGATCACTGTTTAATTCTTAATAATATTTCATCTTAATAAAGAAAGATAATTTGTTCTTAATATATACATTTCAAGATATTCGTCTTTTTTATTAATAGTAATATTGCTAAAATTAAAAACTCGAAATATCATGTGAAAAGACTTAGATTTTTATATGAAAATATTTATCAAATAATTATAACTATTGCAACTTTTCCATTAATAAATTAATAATTCTATCTATTAATGGAATATTACTTACATATAGCAAAAAAAATTGGCATAAACATGATATAATTTTTTATATTGGTTATATAAAATATAGTCATAAGCTAGATAATTTACGAGAATGATCTGTATAGTGAGCTCAAATTTAAGGAGAATAATTATTATAATACGCTAAATTAAAGTTGAGCTAACACTTAAAAGGTTTTAATGAAGTTGCGCAAGATTAAATAAAGTACTAGAAGTACTATTACTAGTAGATATCAAAACCGTAGTAGTTGTAATTAGAAGATTAATTAGAATATTTAAATTTAAAAATACTATATCGAATAAATATTTCCTTATAAATCCAATAAAAACTCTCCTTCTCAACATATGTATAATTGTGTAATGTTGATAAACAAGATTAACATTTAACATATAATTCTTCTTTTTATTTCAAATAAAAATTATTTTAAATAACTTAAACAGTTTCTTCTCATAATTTAAATAGTAATATAATTAATAATTGAAAAAATATATTGCTCTTCCATTTAATAATTATTGAATAATAATAAGTGTTAGTATGATAGTACAATTAATTACATTTAGATAAATCAATGCTGATGAAAATACAAATAAAATTTTAGGTGAAAGGGTTATAAATAAATAAAAATTTTAAATAAATGAATATTATATCACAATTTTTTTTCATCGAGGACTAAATAACGGAGAATTTTTTTAGATTCTTTTAAAGGATTCCAGTTGCAGTTTATGGAATAATACTACAATTTAAAATTTAAATAATTTAATACTCATTAATAGTAAATTAGTAAATTTACATTAGTTTCCTATCATCTCACTTATTTTAGTTATTTTTTAATTAACAAATATCTAGCGTATATCATTCATTTCAATTTTATTACTTATTATCCATTTTTCTCGGTACATTAAAATAAAATAGCCGTTGAAAGTAATCATTCATTTTCTTTTTATTTTTTGTATAAAAATAATGTTAAAAGAAAAAAACTATTTAGTAAAATATATTAATGATACCATATTATAATTATTGCTTTAGTATTAAAAATACTTATTAGAAATGTTTAATATATATTTTACTACTAAAGCTTATATTATAGAAAGCCTTTTAATGAAAAATACTATTATTGAAAACATTTTGATAATGACCACAAGCGGCAAAATATTACAAGAATAAATAACTTTCATTTAATAGATTTACTGGAATGATATTTTCATTCAATATTATTACTTGACTAGTAAATACTTTTATGCCAGTAGACGACAAAATTTTATATCGATATGACACATATGAACCATATTCAAACAGATGTAAAATATGCAAAATTATTCGAAAGACCATCCTAATACTATCAATATCTGGCCTAAGATAATTTTATATTAAATAAGATTCGCATTTATTTCTGTTACAATAAAGCTGTATTTTTGTAGTATTAAAACCATAAATAATATCTGACTTCGTAACTTATATAAGGATATACAAAATCGTGCTATTATTAACTAAACTAAGAATTTTTCCGACGTCATTCTACAATGATTCTAGAATTCTAATTTTATTGTCCATTACAAAATATCACTTATTGTTAAAATATTTTTCCGTAAACTTTTTAGTCAACCTGATATAAATGTTACTGTTTTATACTGATAAAATTATTAAAATAATAAAATTTTATTATGATATCAATTAGTAAGAAAGAATAAATAACATTAATAAGTAATTTTGTACATAAAGAAGAAAGTATGTGATTGTATATGTGTCATATTGTATATGTGACATAAAGAAAAAGATGTGATTCATATTTATATATCTAAACATGTTAAAATTATATAACGATTGAAACAAATATGAGATGTTATAATAGAGAATTTGTTATAATAGATGAAAATTTGATTTTCAAAGAAATATTTTGTAAAACAATTTTTTGTTTAATATATTATTATAGACCGTCTTCAATATTTATTCTATTTTGATAATTTTCTTATATTGAATTAGTTTATATTTATACATTTTAATGAAATCAGAATTTGTCCTTAGGCTTTGTATAAATAATTAATCAATCTAAAGTATTTATTGATTTTGATATTATTATTATTATTATTATTATTATTATTATTATTATTATTATTATTATTATATATAAACTACAGAAATACAAAAAATAATTAATAATTTTTTTATTTAATTACATTATTTATTATTCGATCTTCATGTTTTTACATCTGACGTGACAAATTTAATTTCGTCTCATTAATACAGATTATTTTCTTTCTACTTCATTGTAATGAATATATAGAATTGATTCGCTATACATAAAGTATATTCTACAAGGTTTTTCTTAACTCCATTATTGATAAAGGATCGATTCTCCAATATATTATTACTTACAATGTCTTACAGCAACTACGACAAAATCAATTGCATATATAATCTCCCTTAACTTATAGATTCAGTGGCTTTACCTAAATGACAGGTTGTTATACTCACAAAGTTGCAGTTGGACGAGAGATGTTGCCATATTGTGTTTTACTGCACTTATTTGCAAATATTGTTGAGTGACATTACTCGATGTCACTTTACTACATTAAAATATTTTGTTTCTATACTTAATATACTTCCACTCTAACTGTCGTATAATCTATGTATGTATTTGTCAAAAACTAATTACATCAGTTTCATGAATATTTTTAAAGCGCAATGGCTAATGAAAAATGTAACATTCACGTTCAATTCAAACTTCATTTATAGTAAAGATTTTCTGAATTGATAATTTATTATTTATGCGGTGGTAGCAATATTTAAGTTGGAAATCATTATGAGTTACACTTCTTAGAAATTTCATTTAATTTTGTTTTTCAGTAAATATATATGTAAAGTCAAACGTTAGAATTAGCGTCGTTTATTAATTTGTAAGACTCTTAAAATGAAATTTTTTATCTTGTATAAACTTAAGCTCCCTTCCAACCTGTATTTTTAAGATGTACTTAAAATCCTATAAACTTCCCTGAATTCTGATATTATTCAGTATAGATAATGTATTTATAAAAGAGGTTGTAAATTACTATAAGACAGAAATTTTATACTTATCGATAAATACCATGCGAATTGCAACAGTAAAACCATACTAGAAATATTATAAATATTATAAAGTTTATAAAGTTTATAAAAATATGTTTCACATTCACATAATCGATTAGATAAAAATTAGATCATACGAATACGAGCATTTCTAAACGGCAAATTTAAACGGTGACACTAGTTTGGTCAGTATTTATATAAAGGTCATAAAAATATGCTTGTGTACGCCTAATGAATATGGCGATGATTAGCTTGTTTCGCCTATACGAATTATGTGGTTAATGGAAAACTACTGTACACATTCCTATAACAATGATCGTAGGTTGCACAATATTCTGTCCTCTAATCCATGCATTATTGGCTTTATTGAACATACC